CCTGGGAAATTGCGCAAGGTAGTGTGGGTAAGGTTTTGGACCTAGTCACGCAACGCGATACGTCACGATTGGTAAGTGGATATCAGACTTTCATTTCCAACATCCAACTATGAATTTTATTTACTGCCTGCGATACATTTCGTACAAGGGTAGAACCTGTAAAACAGATGGCATTTTTTGCGTTTTCAAAGCAAGAGGAGGCTTGTGATTTTTAAATTCCCTCCATTTACATAATCTGCCCTTGAATCTCCTCAAAGCACAACAAGTTTCACATTCTGCAAGAGGCATATCTTTGGTAATCGCTCTTTCAATCGTGAGGGACAGTTTTGGCAAGATTAATTTCTCTTGGTTTGAGGAATTTCCATAAGTCCCCTTGCCATTCAAAACATGGGTAGCTGAGAAGGAAAAAAAGATATCATAGGCTTGTAAAGAATGAAGAGTAGAAACGATTGAAGTCATTTTTGTGAAGGGAAATAGTTTATTTTGTGAAAATGTCATTTCGAAATTTTTTTTACAATCATGACTATTTGTAGCCTGTGGCATGGTGCAATCTACCTCTGATTGACAATCAACCACTTGCATTGCAGGCTAAACTACTATTCAATCTCAGCTATTATTTTTCAAGATGAAAAATAATATGTATGGGGCTATGGTTCAGCAGAAATTTACTGAGATTTCAGATGTTTTTCTTCTGATGGTTGTCCATTTCTCATGTGATCAATCATTATTTGTCCTGTGGCCACCATACAGAGTAAGGGAAGAACTATCCAGATTCCATTTGGAACAATAAATAAAAAAACTAATGTCTTCCAATCATTGTGGCTCAGAAAGTGATGGCCACTACACAACTTGCTGGAGACAAGGAAATAAAACACTGTCTTGGATAATGTCATTGTGCTCACCATGAAGGCAAGCAACACTGCCAATCCATCTTTGCTGCTGTTTTGCTACAAAAAGGGACCATAAAATTAGTTATATAATGAGCTGAATTACAAATGTATTTCATTGGTTCTTACCAACTACATTTTGATGTCATTAGTGATCTATTAATTAAACAGACACTCAGAAACATGGAATCTACTTGTTAATTTTTTAACAGTTTGGTGACTAATAAATACACTCACCATTGTCAAAATGACGATGTTGAGACACATCTCCAACAAATTCATGCTAGCAAAAAAAGAGATACAACAACAACCTTAGTGAAAGGTATTTACTGTATTTCCAAGAATAAGGGTCCAAACTCTAAAAAGCACCCATCTCTTAATAAGCACTCATCCCCTAGGCCATAATTTCAAACAAGCTTGCCTCTAAAGTAGCCTTCCCCCCCCCCCCTCAATAGTAGGGAATTACAAGTAAAATCTGTTTCTATTGCCACTTAATCTCTATCTCTAACTTTTTAAGCATTAACTAGGGTGGAATCAGTAGAAGAGAGTATTTTTTTCATTTCCAGTTATTTCTAACTCCATGTGCGTGCAGAGTAGAGTTCCTCAGTGTGATATCTGTTCTTTAGATTTTTTTGTTTTATTGCTGCGCTAACTAAATAAGCACGCCCTTACGATTTGGTGCCCACCTTCCAAAAGCGCCCCCGCTTTTGACCAAAGTTTTAATTAAGCGCCCGGGTACATATGAATTCGAGGAAATACTGTGTATTATTAGTAAGAATGAAAATATCATAGCTGTGCAATAATCAACTGAAAAGAGAGAAATGTGCGAAATGAACACACTTTTTTGGAATTTGAGACTCAGATGCATTTAACACATACAGATTAAAGAGTTTGATTAACAGGTATTTACTGATTTCAACTGTACATAGGTTGAAAATGTTATCTATCAAACTTTCATCATTCCGCAGTATTTGTGGAAAACTTACAAGCTTTGCCCAATGACAAATGTGTCTTTCAGATCTTTGTACCTAGGATCAACTTCGATGAAAATGTTGTCTGAAGGAAAAAACAAAAAATTGTTACAGAAACAGACTTTTAAAGGAATTTGAAGAAGATATAACACAAGTTAATGAAAACTCCACGTTAGTACGTACGTGGATAAAATTGCGTGACCTGGATGCAATCAACAGATGCAAAAAATACTTACATGGTTCAAAAAGGAAGTTCCATTTTCCATCTGGTAGTGTATGGGGTCGTAAAAGTACAAACAAAGCATCGATCGTGACCACAATACTTGAAATAACGAGCCAAACTGCTACCCAAAATGGAAGAATTCGCCCAGCCATGTTTGATCTTGGGCCACTCTCTATGAAATGATCACGCAACGTCTTGTGGGTCAGATTTAAAACAGCCTGTCCCTATAGTCACGCAAGAGTAAGTTCCAAAATGTAATGGTTTGTAGAAGTTTGCCAAAATGGCGTGATAAAATTATGTGGGCTTCAAATTGCGCGAGGCTTGATGAAAAGCTCTCTGGATAAAATTATTTTGTAAAGAGGCACGTCTCATATTTCTAAACCGTCGTTTAATCTAAGTCTAATTGTCTTGATAATATAATTTCTGTGAAAACGTTGTCTAAGGAAAAGAACAGCCAAAAGTAACAAATCAAACCACAATGGATAATTGTGTCTACTCTTCTTTTTTTAATTTGCTTTTTTTCTTCATTTTGAGAAACCTCACCCCAGTTTTCCCATCTAGCCTTCTTGCATGTTGAACATAGGCTACTGAGTCTGACTTGATACAAAATGTGTTGATGTATACAGAATCATATTATGGAGATTTTCCATGGGGAACTAGGAAAGTTCACTTAAGGTTGCCTCTAAGGAGTTCAAGATAAGATGGGGGGGGGGGTTATTGAGCATGCATGCATCTTATTTGAAATCTGCAAGCAATTGCTCATAGAGAGGCATGAGGTGAAGTGCTGGTATATAGCACTGGAGAAGATGAATTGATTGTGAGCCAAAATGAACTCGGCAAAGAAGAAGAGTTAAAGTATTGATGCTGCAGCTTGTAAATTGCATTGCTTGTGATGCTCTCAGGACTCAAAACATTTTCAAAGACAGTTTTGGAATTAAGGGAGGAAGTTAGGAATGGAAGAAGCAAAGACTGTTTTATGACATTTTGATAGGTTTGTCAGTTTCTTAAAGAGTAAATTCGCACAAATCTAAGTGTAGCTTATCTTTGCTCTAGTAAAGGAAACTAAAACAATGTTAATGTACCAAGGCATAATTGAAAAACTACCACACACTTAGCTCTGACAATGGACTTTACTTCATAAGCTAAAAATATACATATCTCTTCTTTTATTGGTATGTAAAATCAGTGGTGACTTAATCTTTATTCAGTATAGATTGATAATAGTCTAGAAGTTTCTCGTCTCCTAAAACAGCAGAAAAGTTCTTTTAGAAACAGAAAAAAATTAGCCTAATGATACACTGATAACATATATGTCTTGTTAGCTATCTTACCAATAACTACCTTTTGTACAGGTAAGCAAGAACATAGAGTTAGTATTTTGGATCTTCAAGATCAATTGATTTAAGTGTCTCATTGCGCTATTTCTGAAAAAAAAAACTAATTGTAGCCAAATTTAGATCATGTAAATTGCTAATCCAATTGTTCCTGATATAAAAATAGCAGCAAGACAAATTTGGGCATGAAAATCATTAAAAATTTCTGTCAAGGAAGAATGAGAACAAATATTATTTCTCCACAAAACTTATCCGTACTCCAACCTAAGATAAATTATTGTTTGAAAACAGCATTTTTATATCCTTGTTTCATGGAGTCTTTGAGAATGCAATAAAGGACATTCTGGTGTTTATGTAGACATTAAAAACCAGGACATTTCAAGTATTGTTTGTTTATTACAAAGGCCAATCAGAACAATGGTAAATATTATAAGGTGCCAGCAAGGACTCAGCTCAAACTAAAAGAGAGGGAAACTGACTGAAGCATGAGAAAAAATTTTGAATGACTCAGTCATGAATAGTTTTAGTTTTGTATCAGATGGGTGACAGATTAAAAAGGAAAGTAGAACCATTCCATTAAAACAAAGAGTCATTTGAAAACCTACTAAATCAGTGAAAAAAAACAATGAAGTTTTACTGCAACCCTTTACTGTAAGTCCTAAAAAATCAGCTTCTAATTTCTCCTTACAGTAATACTGCAGATTCATTTATTAACCCTTTAACTCCCATGAATGACCAAGACATAATTTCTCCTTACTATATCTATACAATATCATGCTGGCAAGTGATGAGATTAAAAGGAAAATATCAATTATGAGATTACTAATTGATTCAATACCAAATTCTCCAAACTAACATGATGAGAATTGTTTGGCAGACAGTGAGGAGAATTACCAATGAGATCTTGGGAGTTAAGGGGTTAAGATCATGAGAATAAATAAAATGATTTCTGATATAAAAAATAAGTAAACTATCTTAGTCTGCTCAGTAGAATATGGATTCTGATGTCTGGGTGTCAAAGGTTACTGAGATTTCTTCTTCTCTTTGGGGAGTTGACCACTTTCCATGCTGTGTACTAATATACTTCCTGTGGCCACCATGCAAAAGAAAGGAATGACAATCCAGAAGCCATTTGGAATGATGTACAACAATACTGTTTTCCTCCAATCCGAATGGTTCACAAAGTGTTCCCCATTACACAGTGAAGTAGACACCAGGAAATACAACACTGTCTTGGAAAATGTCATTGTGCTAACCATGAAGGCAAGCAGGACTGAGAGTCCTGATTTCCCACTGATGTGCTGAAATAAATAAAAAAATGATCAGAGCTGAGTTTTCTGAGAAAATATAAAGCAATCAATATTTATACTGTAAAACTGTAATACTCCTGACCAGAATATCACTCTAGGTAGAGAAGGGCTCCAAGTTCATCTTTTCAAAAAGTCACCTCTTGGCAACCTTCAATATTGTTAAAAAGTTGGTGTAAAATATGTCATCAATAGGAGGACATTACAGGTTGTATTACTTGATTTATTAAGTGAGCCAAACACTATGTTTGCCACACTTCTGTTTGCTTGCTTGCCAACTAAAGGATTGTCGCAATGGTCAAGACAAAAAGGATGAAGAGGCTCTAGCAGCAGAAATGATTTACAACAAAGTTGGCAGGACACAAAGATCCTTGAAATCATATCATCAGTTACAAAATCAATAAAACTGTTGTGCAAAATGTACTTACTATGGCTAAAACAACATAGTTGAGAAACACCTCTACCAGATTCATCCTGAGACACAAAATAATAGGTGGCAGATGAATATCAACATCAATCAGAGTGGTAGACTTAACCCTTTAACTCCCATGAGTGACCAAGATAGACTTCCTCCTTGCAATATCCATAAAATATCAACCAGATAAGTGATGAGGATAAAGAAAATTATCAATTTGGGGATAATTAGGTGATCCAATATTAAATTCTCTGAACAAAGATTATAAGAATTGTTTGGTTGACAGTAGGAGAATTACATATTCAATCTAGGAAAAGGACATGCAGGGGTCCAGTGGTGAATGTGCTAGACTTATGTTCAAAAGGTTCCAGTTACAGCTGTCATCAGTTTCATTTGATCAATTTCTTTATTCTCACAGTGTTTCATTTGACCACAGAAATGAATGGGTATTTTTGAACCCTCAGAGTAACAAGATAAAATTCTGAAGCAGCCTGAATGGATTGACCTTTAAAGGTCTGGGTTGGAGATCTTGCCCAGTCTTTACTCATGCAGTGCCTCTCTCTGCAGAGGAGTATTGATGGGTACCAGAAAACTGCCCAGGAAGCCTGACAGAATGCCTGGGAAGGGGGGAGGGGGATTTGATACTTTGAACGGTCAGCATCCCATTCAGCATTTCTCATCATTGCTTCATGATTCACAAACCAGGATAAGCCCCGAATGGGATGGATCTCTTGCTTCTAGAGAAGACTTGAACAAATGGACCATCATCAAATAAAATGATTTTGTGCAAGGAAGCAAGAATGTCTCTGACAGCTATGACAGTTACCCTCACATTCTAACTTTACCTTCAAACCAATTCGGAACTAAGTCATGAACTATTGCCAGTTACAATTTAATTCTACCTTCAATTTCACTGATGCAAACTTACAAGCTTATTCCCTTGACAAATGTGTCCGTGAGATCTGAGTATCTTAAATCAACTTGGAGGTAAAGATTGTCTGAAAGAGAAATTGAATAGAATGACATTGCAACTTAGTCACGTTACAGTTTGCTTTATGGAATTTAAAACTTTGGAGTGTTTCAATGTAAGTAAGCTCGTCTTTCTGTATAGGCCCTTGCTTCAAAGTTGAGGCACGTACAACAACTTTTTCCAACATTTATCTCGCAAGAATGACAAATACATCCGTTTTTATTCAGCTTGAAGGGTACAAAAACAAATTCTAAAAAAATTGAGTATAAAGTGTTCTTAATCGCACCGAGCGATCAAATGTAACATGCAACATTCGTTACTTTTCTGTGCACTTACGCGTGACATTAGCAAACATGCGATTTATGCTTACAAGGCTGTACGATGTGGTTCCATTTTCCTCCTGGTAGGGTATGAGGACGCAGAATGACAAACAAAGCATCAATTGTGCAAATAATACCCGAAATAAAAAGCCATGCTGAAACCCAGAATGGAAGATTTCGCACCGTCATCTTCGATCCTCGAGAAGCTCTCTAACCTTGGTAACAAGCGCAATGTATCATGGGTCAGGGTTACTTGGGATGCCTGTTCAAAGTTGGTAGTTCTGTGTCATACCAAACAAGGTCACATGATGACGTCATAAACTTCCTTGAAGCGAGTCGGGTAGTTATTCCCCAGAGTCGCCATTTTTGATTTCACTATTGTATTTGGCTTGTAAGTTAGTCACCAAAACGTAGAAGTTATCGCAACAAGTCCGTAATCTATAATCTGGAAAGCTTTGAGGCTTTCCATAGAAGCCTAGGATGGCCTCAAATCAACGCTATGAACCGGTGCGTAAGTCGTTTGTCCATTTCATGTTTGCCAACGTATCTTAGATTTTTCCTTCGAATTCCTTAATTTGATTAATGCTCCTTTTGTTTGTTTGGTTCTTCTTGAGCGAGAAATATTGAATTTCTATGTCGTAATTATTCTCTTTCGTTTCGTTCAAAACGTATTCTAAAACAATACAACCTGGTTGCGCATCATGTGAGTTGAAATGTAAACCGTTTTAAATCTGCTTTACCTACCGAATGTTTTGTTTCGATAATTTGGTGAATTTGCATTTTCTTTACTCATTGTTATTAAACTTACCACTGAAATAGTGTTAAATTCGCTGAAAATTAGTAATATTGTGACGATAATTTTTCCTTCTGATTAGATTAGTTACCCTATCTGTTATTATTTGCAATCATGGTTGATTTTTCTTTAGTTCGTGGGCTTATCTACGAATGAGAAAACTTATTGCTTAGAGTGCTCTACTCCGGGATATTTAATTGTGGAGACTAGTATTTCCTTTGTTTATTCCACATAAATTTTCCATAAAGTGATGTTAAGAATAGTTCCTAAAGTTACAATATCAGAGATACGTAACAGTTATTGCTAGAATTGAATTGACAAATTCTTCAGGGTTAACAATTTTTACAGATGTTCTTTACGATAGTATCGTCCATGCAACTACTTTTAAGGAAGTTTAGAAGTGAAGTTTATTATGAACTGCTGTTGGTCACAAAACCCCCATTCTGTCATTTATGTTTTTCAATAGTAGAATACAAAGTGAACTATTTTAACAGAGAGAGAGGGTAAAAGTAAGGTTATAAGAGAGATATATGTAATAGTGTAGTTTGATTGTCAGGGTGAGTGTAGTCCTGAGAAGGACTGTTGTTGGTAGTGGTGACTGACGTTTCGACAACCTGAGCGGAAGTTATCATCAGAGTCAAACTTCCACTCAGGTTGTCGAAACATCAGTCACCACTACTGACAACAGTCCTTCTCAGGACTACACTCACCTGGACGATCAAACTACACTATTACATGTTACCCCCAGGTTCAAACCATTTACTGTATAAGAGAGAGATATGTTATTTACTAGCCAGGAGGTCCTTATTGGGGAAACCTCAACCCAAGACAGAGGGCACAGTTTTTCCTAATACAGACCAACCCAGGCTGGTGACTAACATTTTTACTTTTTTCCTTAACCTTAGCAAAATTCTTTCCAAAAGAACCCAAATGATCTAGGGGTGTAATTACTGCAAGGTCTTCCATAAACTGAACAATTTTTGATGAAGTAAATATTAGTTAAAATAGGGGTAATGCAAATTAAAGAGAGGGGCTTTAAGGAAACTTTTTCATTTGCGTATTCATAAAGGTGATTTAAAAGGCTTCCAAACAAACTTTGAAACATTATTTTTACCAGTATCTGTCACAGTCTGACACCTGTCAATTAGAGAGCATATAAGTAAAAAAGCACATGCACACTTTTGAAAAAACAACAGAATTAGTTTGGCAAGGACTGTCAGGACAATGTTTTCTTCAAAAACAGTCATTGATCCTATGGAAAGTTTTATTCACTCTCATTGATGGTTAATTAATGTACAAAGATTTACCTCCATTTAGTTGGTAAATGGTAAGGAAATTTAAGAAATCAAAGAAATCTAAGAACCAAGGAGATTGCAGGATTCGTTACCATGCCCTCTGAGAAAAAAAATAAAAATCTGTACTCTAATTGAAAATATTGAGATCTCAATGCTTAACCTTTAAACTCCCAGAAGTAATTAGCATGTAACTTCTTCTTATAACATCCATACATTAACCTGCACACAGGTAATAAGAATACTCAAACAAATCAGGTGGAAGTTCTTATCTTGATCCAACACCAAATTCTTGTAACTGATTTACAAGGAGATGTGTTGCAGTCAGAAGGGAGAATTAACAATCAGATCTTGGGACTTAAAGGGTTAGGTGGCAACTACATTGAGGCTTATTGTAGTAAAAAGTGTTTCCTCTCTTCAAGGTGTCTACCAGTGAACCACCTCCACCCTCTTCTGTTCCTGTTGTCTTGACAATAGCCATACCCCTGGAGGACGATACTGCATGCTCTCCACCTCCCCCTTATGAACCAACTGAGGACCAGGATACTGCTAGAGGTACTTGTTTGATATTTTCTTCAATCATTTTTTGAGTCTTTTGGTATATACGGCTTTTCTGTCACAAGGGTCATGATTTGATCAAAAGCAAAATTAACTAATTGTTGTTTACATCATTAGACACCGATCTTCCTCCATCCTATGATATTGCGGCTAAGCTACCAACTTATGAAGAGGTGGAAAGAGTGAAAGGGGATCAGGATGGTTTGGTGAGTTACTCAAGCCTTGTGATACTTAACAAATAGATCCCAAGTTGTGGTGCATCTGTTCAGTAATAAATCACAGAGGATGTCAAAACCTTGGTGAGAGCCAATCAGAATGCGTGCATAACTGAGCTTATTATATAAATGCACATATTTAATGTTTTGGTATATATATCACTTCTTGGTTATGTGACAAATGACCTGGCTATTTTTTGTATTTCAGGTTGAAAGGAATGCGATTTTGCTTGATGGTGGAGTAGGTACGTTTAGAAATGTCATTGTTAGTTATATCTGTTCTATTATATTGCTACTGTCTTTTATTTTTGAAAATGTTACAGAGCCACCACAAGTACCATTTTATGGAAGTGTTTTTTTAGGCAATGGCACTACTAACAACTTATTTTTGCTTGTCTGTTTTGTAGAAGTTGCTCTTGGAAATGACTGGCTATTTTTGATCTGTTTTATCTGTAAGTCATTTTGTTTAATTCAGTATTTAACTTGTGAAATTTTTCATGATTACAAGCTTTACGTGTCTTGATATGTATCTCTCATGTATGTATCTCTCAAAGAAGTGAGCCTGATCATTTTTGTGAATTGAGGGATCTTGTATCCTGAGTAATCATGAAAATTACCATTTCTGCAATTGTGATTGGTTTTTAAACACTCCTCTTTTCCACTAATTCAGTCGCAAAGTTGCTATTGGGCAGTTTACTATGGGACAATTCAATAAGCCAATCACATTCAAAATTGTAGTTTAAAAAAAGTAATAACACTCAAAGTTGTAGTTTAAATCAACTAGCAACCAGCAATCCATTCATGCCTCCTTTGTCATTTTTTAAATGCAAATTTGCCTTTTTGTTCATTACTTGGCAACTCTTCTTTTCTCAGAAATTGTAATTTTATGATTAATTGGTACAAGACCTTGTGTTGTCCAATTCGGTCTGTAATCATACTCATGATAAACAAATCAGGTACTCACTGCACTGTTGTTGACCGAATTAGACTCCACTCAATCCTATTACAATTACTTATATTAGTGTAGGATATAGACAACATCACCCCCCATTTGGATTGATGAGAGCTGATTAGTAACCCTTTACACCCTAACATCAGAATGCATACTCTCCATACTTTCCTCAGTGCATTTCTTTTGTCTTTGATAAGGAGAATTTGTTTAACAATATAAAGCATGTTTAGTTGATGATCATTTCACTTATTCTTGTGACCTTAATGTTTGATGTGGTTTGATGTTGTTAAGAGAAATTAGATGCTAGTCACTCGTACGGATCAAAGAGTTAATCATGGCCAGCTCATACTAATGATCAATGCTAGTAATGAAAAATTAATACTTGTTAACTTGCAAAGCTTGTGTTCCTTTTTTAATCTTCGTGTCATGCTCTGAGTGAGAGTTTGAGCTCTTGCTTCTGTTAATCAAAGTGATTCTACTATGTAATGAGTGAGTTTTGTTTCCTGTTGTGCCAGTGGCTTTTGTTTTCAACTGGTTGGGATTCTTTGCTGCTTACTGTATGACCAACACTATTGCGGGAAGGTATGGTGCAATGTCTGGCTTTGGACTGTCCGCAGTGAAATGGATTCTTATACTAAAGGTGAGAAATTTCACAAGCTTTGCAGATAAACCAAAATTACTATAACACCAAAAGGGGTTTCTTTGTTATCCCTTTCACTGCTAAGATCCAAATATGAATTCTCTTCACTGTCTATCATTTCTTTATAATTTTGGCCATGAGAATTTGGTATAAAATCAAACAATATTCACAAGCTGATGCTTTTCTGTATTCTTGACACCTTTCTTAAGGACAATGTACTGATACTGTAAGGAGAAATTACTAATTGGTCACTGCTAGGGGTGAAAGAGCTAGATAATGCTGCTAAGATGATTGTAGGCAGTAGCTGTTTGATATGTGTTTATAATACATTTGTTGTGTTAGGCTGTTACACTATACATATAAAATGAAGGACAGAAACTTCTGTTCACAGTTATCCTTGTAACTTTTTTTTTTTTTTTTAACTTAAGTGCCTATTTTCAGTTGAATCAAAATTTGTACATCTTGCAGAATTCATCTTCTGTTGACACAGAGTTTGTACATTCCTGGCTTTGGTGGATTGCTCTTGCCCTCGGTAAGAATAACTATTTATCTGCTTAATTTCACTAACAAAGCTGTAAATGTTGTACAGTAAATGGTGTGAACCTAAGGGTAACATGTGATAGTGTTGTCTGATGGGGTAATGTTAGCTCTGAGAAGGACTGTTGTCAGTAGTAGAGATAGGGGTTATAGCAAACTGAGCAGAAGTCATCATCAGAGTGGAGTGCAGAGTTGTTGTTGGTTGAGTGTGTCAAGTCTGATTTGTGTAAAGTGATTGGTTGGTCATGCCACATTTTTATTAACTATAAGACTCGAGTGGCATAATTCCATTGGGATCGGTCAGTTTCAATCCATCAATAATGTAAGGTTGTTAACCAATTCACTATCATCATTTTGATGTGATTGTCGACCTAGAAGTGGTAATCACAGCACTGAATATGAAAGCGATCTTCGCAATAAAGAACACCACTATAGCAGTAAAAAAAAAAAGGCCCATATGGTATCTAAACTCTTGACCTCTCTGATACCAATGCAGTCCTTTACCAACTGAGCTAACAAACATTACTGTTAGAGGTACTCTGGTGTTAAGTTGTTTTCTTCAACCACATCATGTGTCTTTTTGTAGGATGGCTGATATTTGTTCAAAGTATTTTGACCTACTTGAACATCAAGTGGTGGGTGAAGAAAGGCTGTCGTTCTTTTCAGCGTCACTGGGGGATGCCACGAGGCAACCACAACAACTGATTTGTTAAGACTGTATTTGCTTAATGTGAATGAAATGGTCATTTCATTTTGGGTCATTTTAATGTTGTAGAGGACTATTTTATATTGGATGAAAACCCAGAAATGAAACTTTGCTGGGTGCACTAAACATCACAAATGTTAGAATAATGGATTGCAGATAGATTACAGATGACAGTTGTACTTGATAAATCTTCCATAGTGCATCAACTGTGATGGAGCTTCTTTAACCTTTTACCTCTCAATATCTATGTTGTAATTCTTGTTTTGGCAGCTGTATGTTCCCCTAAAGAGAATTTGGTTTTATATTAAGATATAGCCCTTGGCTGATAAGTGTGTTTATTCTCATACCTGTTTGGAGGGTACTTTTATGATTTTAATCCTTTACATCCTGACATCAGCATGCATATTCTCCATACTGCTCGCTACATGTTTCCTAAGGTGCTGGTAAGGAGAATAACTGGTGATCATTTGCTTTGTTCCCATGATTCTAGTGTTTGATTCAGGGATGATGATGTAAGGCGAAATTAGATGTTAGTCACTCTGAGGGTCAAACAGTTAAGAAGAGAAATGACATGTCTATCTTTTGGAAGTGGAGGGGTTGGGAGAACTTTAAACTACCTTGGATCTTTAACCCTTTAACTCCCAAGATCTGATTGTTAATTCTCCCCTCTAGCTGCTACACATATCCTTTTAAATAAGTTATGAGAATTTTGTGTTAGATCAAGATAAATTCTACCTCATCAGTATGAACATTCTCATCAGCTGTTTGCTGGATAATGTAAGGATATTATGGGGAGATGTTTCATGTTGATCACTTCTGGGAGTTAAAGGGTTAAAAGTTTGGCAATATTTGACAGCTACTGTACGGCCCTTTTGAAGGAAATTGTGATTAAAGGTGTGAAATGGGGTGATGAATCTTATTCTATTTCTTAGTAAAAAATGTACGAAATTTGCCATAAATTGTAGTTATTGTAGTTATTATGTGATAGTTAATTAGGAGTTGCAATGAAGAAATGTAGAAATATACTCAGTTGTAGGCCAGTGTAAATTTAATCACTTTATCTGGGAGGAAACAAAATAAAGGTGGCATTGTTCATGCATCACAGCAGGGATTGTGTATGATAATATGTTCTGTTTTAAGAACAACTGATTTAAATTTCAGAAAATTTTATTTTTGTCTTGATCGATGTATGAATCCTCGGTTCTTAGGGGAGAAAGGAGTAGCAATTCCTATAGTGTCATGGGTAAGGAAATGTTGTTTTGAGCATTGTAGATTGTTTTTGTCGGGCTGATCGGAAAACAATGAACACTAGAAATATTTGTGGAATGCGACTGTGTTGAGGAAAACAGTCAGTCGGGCATGAAAGTTTTGAATTGTTCGTCAACGCCTCACGCTCTTGTGTCTTCTCGTGACACAAATCACTCCTTCATGTGAAAGATGATGTTAGGCATACTCGGAATAAAGAACTGCGAGTGGTGCCTTCTTCTTTTACATCATAAGCTCCTTCGTGTCTGGGAAGTGTAACAAACTGGCCTTTTCACATTTCAATCTGATAGAATACTCTAATTACCTGTAACGAGTGACTTGCTGCACTGGAGCCCTCTGTGTATTGTGCAACGCTCGCAATACTAGAAACTAAACATAGCAAGAACCGTTCTCAATTTCCTTCGCATAATTTCCAAGGAGTGTAAGAAACAGCGGCTGCCAAGCTAACTACAAGTATGCGGAACGTTCATTAGAAAGTAAAAGTAGGCAAGGAGAAAACTTACGACATTTCAAACACTGGACACATACTTTTAATCAATTTTCAGATTATCGATATGACATTGGCTGACCTGCCGAAAATAGCCATAGCTAGTCTAAGGCGGTCAGTAATTAAAATCGAGATACCTAACTGATCTATCTTAGCTAACGCCTAACTTAAATTGGACCCACTGTTGGGAAGTACACCTTTTTCTGTTCATTTACGCAAAATGTATATTCATTTACGTCAACAGTTGAAACTATACGGCAAATATACATTCATTAGCACTTCCATGAACTTCATTAACGCGAACGAACTTAACGCTATTTGCATGTGTATTAACATTCAATAGCATCAACGGATGAACAATGGCACCTTTGGACAATCAAACATAACAAATATACTTTCAATCTCGCGCAATGATTGATCATTAACACCAAGAGAAAATCAATTGCATAGTATGACAATCAATTGCGTATTAGAGACAATCAATAATACAATTTGCGTAGAGACGTACAATCTATTACACCTTCAAATAATCGTCTATTCAAAATGGCCAATCATTAACGTGAACTGATAAATATTGGTGTTTGATTGTTTGTTTGTTTGGTGTTTGATGGTGTCTATCCACCACAGAGTCGCGTAAAATATGCCGCAAAACGACAAGGCTGTTGTTTTTTTCGACTTTGTTTGCGCTCTGTTACACCGTGCCAGATGCCGGCACTTCCAACGGCCTGAGTTACTCACTATTCTATTTGGTCAAATCTGCCGAGTTATAAAGTTGAATTTCGTTATCAATCTGAATTTCCTGCAAGCTCAGTCAAGTCCTAAATGTTTATACATTGCTCTAATTGTTTACATTTAAAATGTGAGGCACTCTAGAGGGTGATTCTTGAATGGAGCGATTTCCATCTTAGCGCTCGCAGTCTTAGGTTATTTTAGATCATTTAATAACACATCTTCTTACGTTGCTTACAAGCGTTGATTACTGAGGACTTTCAACCAGTGCAGACATGTGAGAATTCTACCCATAGAATACTGCGCTTCTTCCTAAGCGCGAAAGAATCTAAGTTATACCTAAGACCGACAAAAAGAGTAAAAAGAAGTTACTTCTTAGGCAGAAGGCTGCTCGTCGATAGGATGATCAAACAATTTGGCAAAACCCATATTATATGTGAAGCGATTTTCAAACGGTCCTCCTTTGTTAAATATCCTGTACACTGCCCCCCCATTTTTTCAGGCTATCCGCGGGGTAGATCTCCTCGACCTTAGACTGGGTTAGGCGATTATTCTTTCCCCACTGTGGCCTCGCTTTGAACTCCTCGTAGAGCTTGACCTCTACCATCTCCTGGAACTCGTCAATGCCATATGCCCCAGGGAGAAATGGTACCTGGGAAAAAAAAAAGATAAAAAAGCATGAAGTAAAGATTCAATCCTTACTATTGTCTTATTTTATGGTAATTCTTAGAAAGGTTTTTTTTCCTTACCTCAATGTAACAGCTGTGATCACTGAGAGAACCGTCAAGTCTAAACTTGCTTGCAGGGCTAAGGAACAAATCATCAGAACGTGCAAGTCTCACATAAATTGGTAGCAAAGAACACTGTTTATGCCTTTCCGCGTAATCTTGAGCCAGTTTTATCACAATGGTCAGGGCATCATGGAGGTGTTGCAACGGGAAGCACCATTCTGCAGTGCGAACGCGAAAATCACAAAAGAAACGACGAGACTCTTTTTGACAGCAATTTCTGACTGAGATTTCTTAGTTTGCTTTAACCACATCACACAGCTAGAAAAAAATTGAACGCATAGCGAATCGATGAATTGCACCCTCCGGCGCCTGAGGTCGGCCTCTTTTTCCAGGAGTTGTAACCAGCAGTTTTAAATGTTAGCCTTTGTGCTGACCGGCATTTTGAATCACTTAAGCTTTACATTTACCAAACTCAATGAAAACGTGCTCTCTATTTCTCTATTTGATGGTAAACAAAAAAGTATATGTTTATAGCAACGCCTTAGAAAATGGCAATTATTCCTTCGTTTAATAAGTCAAACCGTTTGCAGCTTGAAAACGTTGATATTTTGTTGTAAAATCACGTTCAATCGGTCCGTTTGGCTGTTTGTGCAGATGACAGTTAGGAAGTTTCACATGGCGAGTGTTTTTACTTGCTGGATATTGCCTTTAGTGAACTGCGGCACGTTGTACCTGTCTGTCGATACGGTTTTTCGAACGAGAACTGTGACACACTGAAATTGGTCAGCTGTGGAATACGAGTGGGACAACAATTGGTACATCCCTGGAGGCAAGAGGCTGTGCAGTCTGTCTGCATGCAGCTTAGGTCCGCTATTCCTCTTCCTCCGCAACAATTACAACAGCATGAGCAACAAGCACAGCAGGTTGGTCCACGATCTGTTTTGAAAGCTTTTAAGTAAGCAATATTGATATGCTTGTCATTCCTGAGGGAGCAAGGGAGTAACGAGATTATTGATTTCATCGCCACATTAAACAGGGAAAGGAATTACGATGTGAGACCTAAATTGGAATTAAATATACTGAGTCTTTTTAGACTTCCACCACCACCATCACAGCGCCTTTACTATCACCACCACGATCCTCGCCACTATCACCGCCACTATCACCATCACCATAATTACCACCAGTATAGTTTCCAGCACTTTCACCACCATAAATATTTCTTCTACCCCCGCTAGCATTAGCACCAGCACCACAACCGTCACTACCGCTAAATTCAGCATTTACACCAGTACAACCACAAGCAACACCGTGACAACCATCTCCATCGTCCCCACCACTGCTGCCATTGCCACCACCCTTGTAATCAGTAAGAGTATTACCACCATAACTACCATTATTAGCATCACATCCCCCAAAATCATCACTACAATCATCACTGTTACCAGCACTAAGACTGAGACACCACTGCCAACCCCACTACCACCAATACCAGCAGCACCACCATAAACATCACTGCCACAACCACCAGGGTCCAGTTATCCCACAGATAAATTGCTATCCAGCGTATACCGGTCGAAGTGTTAACAAGACGTACTGCGCTATCCACCCGAGAGCGACTTTTCCAGTGGATGGCGTTATTCACCCTTCGAACAACCGGTGCCAGTACTGCGAACACCACCATCACCTCTACTCTCACCAAAAACATTATTGTCACTTCCATCACCACCATCACTAGCATTGCCACCCACCACCATCTCCGTCTCCACCGCCATCACTGTTACCATAGCTTTCACTACAGGCACCACTACGAATACAGCCAGCTCTTTAATACAGTGGCCCACAACTGTCACGGCAAAACAAAGAGTCACGGCAAAACAAAGAAAACGAGAAAACGAGAAAACGAGAAAAAGAATGCTAATTCTCTGAAACATAAGATACCAAAAGAAATTAGGGATTACCGTGATGGAAGAGATATGCATCAATATGAGACCAGAGAAACATTCAAACCAATTATCGACACACAAATAGAGATAAAAGAGACTGTTGATAAGATACAGGATAAGCTAATTGAAAAAGTACAGGAAAACCAACAAAATATTATTAATTTACCTGATGTACTCTCAGACATAACGTCTCAACAAGGGTCTCACCAGGGGTCATTTCATGGAATTAATAGATGGTTATCAGACTTACCGTCAAGTTTTGATCCATTGAACACTATTGAAGAAAGTGATGGTAATAATGAAGATGAAGATAAAAATAAAAATTATGACATATTTACAATGAGGTATGGCGGATACTTGATGAATTGTTGAAACTGTCTGTGATAACTGAAACATAACATGTTGCATACGTCAGGCAACATTTAAAATAAACTGATAATATATAAATATACCAATATTTCTGAATTCAGTTGAATATGTAACCATAATATCTATGTCAAGAGTACGACGGATCAGAGAAAAAAATGGTCATAGTGTATATTACGATGTGGAGACCATGAAGCGCAATTCTAAAATGATTCAAAATGATGAAGGTATTTTTTGATATTTCCAAAAAAAGTCGCAGGCAAGGTTGCCTCCAAACTGACAGGAAAGGTTGCCAAAGATATCGCTATAAAGGCAGCAAAAGCCAATGAAAAGGTGCAGAAGATGTTGGAAGCAAAACAGGCCAGCTATTCGGAGAGAAAATTTATGACAAATTCAACACTCCCAAACAACCAATTCAAAACACTAGAGACAGGACACAAGAGATGTTAAACAGCACAAACAAGACACAGGTTTTTATTTCAGTCCTTAAGAAGATAAAGGGGAAGAAATCATCAAATTTTTGCAAATGACACAATCAAAAGAGCTTCCAAATAAACATTTTCTGCTGCCACAAGAGTTTGA